CGGAACAACGGTTAGAAATTGCCCCGGGAAACTGCACGGCGATGCTTTCGCAAATTAGAGAAGAACTGAACACGCCAACTGACAATGAACAATTATTGCGATTGAAAAGAATGAGTAAATCCCCTCATTCCAAACCAGGTCTTGGTGATTTAGCTCTGTAAATTACTATCTGTGAGAATTTAAAATCCTGCCAAAAACGCTAACGAGCTAGGCCCAGCGTGACAAAACATTGCAGGAAAAAGTCACATTCACGGACACAAAGAAAATCGCTTAAAATTATTCAAATCCAGGAGGCACTTTGAAGAAATAAAACAACCTAAAACCCTTAATCAGCCGCAATGAAGAGCTTTACATTTCTAATGGGACCAAGAAAGAAAATGCTCTTGCGTCAGAGGGCAAATCATGCCTATCAGAGAAAATCAATACGCGTGTCACGACCTCTCAGTATGAAATATATTTAATAAGCGGCCAAAATTCACAATTGCTCAGTCAAAACTTTTTTCTCCAAAGCATAATCTACTCGACAGAGAAAACAATTCATTGGAACAAGCGGCATGTTTGCATGAAGTAAAAGTCGTGTGTTTCCTACCGATCCCGCTTTTTTAGCCAGGCGAGATAACAATTACGGTCGGCCGTTGCACGGAACTTGAAGAACCCTTTGCAAAAACAAACATCCGATAAATAAGGCTTTTGTCAAATCCTGTTGGTAGAACATAGAAAACATCCTTTCCCTTGAGTAGCAACTCCAAAGCTTCCCTGTGCTCCGATTTTAAAACAAATCCCAATTCTTGCAAGCAAATCCAGGCGATCAACATTTTACAGAGAAAGCTTTAGCAATTCATCACGGTATGGAACAACGTGAATGACTGGTTGAAAACATTACTTGACAGCTTGGTGACAGCTTGCATGGAAACTTAGCCAATGGGAATTGCCCTTGGCTGGGAGAAGCGGGTAATTCGAACGAATATAACGTATGCAAAACGGACAGTCCGTATTTTTAGCGTCTCTCCCCAGTCTCGCTCTCTGTTTTCAGCCTCATTCCAGACCTTTTGTTTGACTGCTCGCGCGTACTTGAATACGCAAAAATACGGACTCTTTTGCACTCTATGCGAGTTCGCAAGCCCAAAGTTGAATACAAATTAGCTTTACAGCTACACCCAAGAGACCACCTTGACGTATTATTATAAAACAAATAACTTAACAAGGATCAATTAAAAATCGCGACTCATAATTGCTAGCAATAAAAACATAAGAGAGATGCCGTTTTAAAAAACTTTATTAAAAAACAATGGCAAAAAGAGTCAAATACACAGCATGGTGTCCAACCCATTCACATGCGTTATCGCGGACGTCCACACTTGCATGTAAGATACCCCGAAGATACACTACCCTAAATAGAGAGAACATTTTTAACATCGTGTCCTGGCAAGGATGAATTAGAGAAAGTTCCTCAACAAGGCTTTGCTCGCGAATCAGGCAGAGTTTTGCGATAGGATAAAAGGACCATTAACGTTCTTTTCAGGAGTTAATTGACAAAACTATACAGACCATGACGGTTGCCTTGCTGATATACCAACAATGCTGAAACAATAAAAAACACTGAGAAGCTTAAAATAAGCGCTTTTTTAAAAACTGTGTAGCGTACTCGAAGTTTGTTAAATTGACACATTGACGTTTCATTGATGGTTTGGCAATTTTCACTGGTTTTCAACGGTAAATCAAGATTAACACTAGAGGTAAATAAAATCAACGTGAGTTACTGTTTGTTACTTCACTTACGGGTACAAACGTCAAAATCGTGAAAACATGATTAAAACCGTCGGTAACATCCTGTTGTAAATCGTTCTTATCATCATCAACAACAACAACAACAACAGCTTTATTCCACATGAAAAAGTTTAGAAGTAATAAATTAAAGTAAAATGAAGAGGCAAAAGGAACTATTTCACACAAACCGCAGTTAGATTAAGCCAGAAAGAAATAAGAAATACTAGCCGTAGTAATAATTTTACAAAGAGAACAAAATTTGATACCCTGCCTAATTACTCGCTAAGAATAGTTAAACTTACTAAATACGTTACATCTATTTTGAAAAGCCTGGGTGTTATCTCAGCGAATTCGAGCGACTTCACGTTACGGCGTATGAACATTCAAGGGGGAAAACTAACT